TGCTATGATGGAATGGGTTGAAAGAAGCAATGCCCAACCCAGACCCCCTTTGTTGATTGCTTCGCCCCATTGACAGCGTTTGGGGCCAAAAAGTGATGTTTTGGGGGACTTCCTGCTCTATAACACAATGACCCCCCCCCATTGCTCACAGCCCCCCCCCGGCTGCGCCTGGTGGATGGTGATACCGCTTGCTCGGGCTTCCTGGAGCTGCACAAGGCAGGGATGTGGGGCTCGGTGGCCTCGGGCCGGAGCATCCCGGTGGCGTTGGCGGCCCGCGTGTGCGGGGCCCTGGGCTGCGGGAGCGCCCTGGAGGGCTCCGTTGCCCCACAGCCGCGGTGGGGCAGCCCCCTACCGGTGCGCTGGGAGGTGATGGAGCCCTGCGGGAGCCTCCGCCTCCTCGAGTGCTTCAATGGGAGCAGCGGCCGGAGGGGAGCGGAGCCCGCGTTCATCCGGTGCTCAGGTGAGGACCGTCGGGGTTTGGATACGGGGGTGCTGGGGGCAGCTCCCACCGCCTTCACCCCACTCATCGCGTTCCTCTCCTGCATGCGAGGGTAAAACAGGGGGGCCCCCAGGGCAGCTCTAAGTAGGGGAGGGGGGGGTCCCAATGGATATCCCTGTGGAGCTGCTTGGGGCTGGCGCCCTGGGAAGGAGAGCTGTGAGGAGCGGGCTGGCTCCCCCCATCGTGGATTCATGGGATGGGTTGGGATGAAGGGAGCTTCAAGCTCATCCAGCTCCAACCCCAAGCCCTTCCCACTGGGGCAGCTTGCTCCAAGCGCCTGTGGCCTTGAGCACTGCCAGGGATGGGGCAGCCACGGCTTCTCTGGGGCCGCAGCCCCCATCCCAGAGCAGGATTCCTTCCCAAAGCGTTCCCACCATCTGCCCGCGCTCCGAATCCCTCCCGTGGGATTCAGGGATGAGCCGCAGCAGCCGGCAGAGCCACGGGCACAGCTCCCAGCTCCTTCTCCCTGCGGCACAAAGGGGAAGCGGTGATGCCAGGAGCCCATCCCAGAGGATGGAGGCTCACACCGCGGGCGGGATTCCAAGCCCTGGCAGCCGGTTCCAACGCCTCCCCATGGATCTGATCCCTCTTTCTCCCCCCCCCCCCTTTCAGACTCCCAGCCCAAGGCCCTGCGGAGGCTGGCATCCGGCCCCACACCATGCGAAGGGGACATCGAGGTCTTCCATAGGGACCAGTGGCGGGTGCTGTGCGACAGCAGGACCCTGCGGGCTCAGTGGGGCAGGGAGCTGTGCCAGGAGCTGCGCTGCGGGAACCTCTCATCCAGCACCGAAACGCGGGACCCCCCTCCTTCCACGGGGGTCACTTGTGGGGTCCCCAACCTGCACCTCTGCCCCCTCAGGGACACCCCGAGCTGCTCCAGGATCCGAGTCGTGTGTAAGCCGCTGGGGGATGCTGAGCTCTATGGGGGTTACACTGGGGAGCGGGGGGGCAAAGGAGATGGGTCCAACGGGGGCTCAAGCTCCCAGCATCAGCGGCAAGGGTCTCATTCGGTGAACGCTGGTCCTCTCTCCCCAGGCCAGGACTCGAAGCCGCATCCCAGCGGCACGGCCCCGGGTACCATCGTGAGCATCTGCCTGGCCCTGCTGCTTTTCGGCATCCTCTTGCTCCTCTGCGGGCCTCCCGCTTACAGGAGGCTGATGAAGAGAAGTAGGGCACAAGCCCTGGATCCCCTCTTCCTATGCCCTTTGCAGTGCATCCATCCCTGCCTTGCTCCTCCACTGAGGGCCTTCGGGAGATGCTCCGCGCTGATGCCCATTGTCCCTGAGCCTGCCCCACATGGGGTGGGCACAGAGAAGGGGGGGGATTAAGCACTGAGTACACACAATAGAGCAGACAGGGGGGGTCGGGAAGGGGATTACCAGGAGGAGGAGGTGATTGGGGATGACATATGGGGCCGGCGGGGTAGCGGGGGGGACAGCAGCCGGAGGAGGAAGCGGCATCGGGTCCATGGGGAGCTGCACATCGCATCCCCTGCCCTCTGCCTTCCAGGGTCCAGAAAGAAGCAGCGCCAATGGATCGGCCCCACGGGACTCAACCAGACGGGTGAGGGGGTTGGGGGTGGGTTGGGGCTGGTTTGGGGCTGGTTGGGGCTGGTTTGGGGCTGATTTGGGCTGATTTGGGGCTGGTTTGGGGCTGGTTGGGGCTGATTTGGGGCTGGTTTGGGCTGATTTGGGGCTGGTTTGGGGCTGATTTGGGGCTGGTTTGGGCTGATTTGGGGCTGGTTTGGGGCTGATTTGGGCTGATTTGGGGCTGGTTTGGGCTGGTTTGGGGCTGATTTCGGGATGGTTTGGGGATGGTTTGGGCTGGTTTGGGGCTGGTTTGGGCCTGGTTTGGGGCTGATTTGGAGCTGGTCTGGGGCTGATTTGGGGCTGGTTGATGGCTGTTTTGGGGCTGGTTTGGGGCTGATTTGGGGCTGGTTTGGGGCTGATTTGGGGCTGGTTTGGGGCTGGTCTGGGGCTGATTTGGGCTGATTTGGGGCTGGTTGGGGCTGGTTTGGGGCTGGTTTGGGCTGATTTGGGGCTGGTCTGGGGCTGGTTTGGGCTGGTTTGGGGCTGGTCTGGGGCTGGTTTGGGGCTGGTTTGGGCTGATTTGGGGCTGGTTTGGGCTGATTTGGGGCTGGTTTGGGCTGATTTGGGGCTGGTTTGGGGCTGGTTTGGGCTGGTTTGGGGCTGGTTTGGGGCTGGTTTGGGGCTGGTTTGGGGCTGATTTGGGGCTGGTTTGGGCTGATTTGGGGCTGGTCTGGGGCTGATTTGGGGCTGGTTTGGGCTGGTTTGGGGCTGGTCTGAGGCTGAGTTGGGGCTGGTTTGGGGCTGGCTTGGGCTGATTTAGGGCTGGTTTGAGCCAATTTGGAGCTGGTTTGGTGCTGATTTGGGGCTGGTTTGGACTGATTTCGGCCTGATTTGGAGCTGATTTGGGGATGGTTTGGTGCTGATTTCGGCCTGATTTGGGGCTGATTTGGGGCTGGTTTGGGGCTCGCAGCAGGCAGAGCGCTCCCGTTTCCTGCCTCCACATTGACTCATAGCACGATGCGAACCCGGCCCCGCTCGTGGGTCCTGCTTTGACTCAGCCCCTTCCCCTCCGAGCAGCATCACCTCCAATGGGCTGCTTCAGCCCCAAATCCCCCCCCCCTATTCCCCACTGTTCCCATCTTCTCCTCCAGTTTCCTTCCACCGCAACAGCACCATCACGCAGAGGCCACGGGCAGAGGGGCAGCGGGTGCAGGGGGGGGACAACGACTACGCTCAGCCCCCCAAGAAGAGCCCTCACACCCCGGAGTACCCAGGTGAGGGCAGGAGGATGCTGGCAACGGCTCCTCCGGGCTCCATTCCCAATGGGAACCACCCACCCATGATAACCCCTGCATCCATCCATCCATCCATCACCCCACAGCCCTGGAAGGAGCGTTGCGACCTTCCAGCCCTCCGGAGAACACCTCGGACAGTGACTACGACCTGCACTCTGCGTGCAGAGTGTGACCCCAAAGGGTGCTGGGTCCCAGCCCAGCCCTCCCCCTGCTCATGACACTCTGCAAGTGCTCTTTTAGTGGCTTTCCCTGCATTCTTTTTTTGGGGGGGGCAAATGAACTTGGTTTCCTTCATCAGTCCCCCTTTTCCATGGGGGTAAAAGGGGGGGATGAAGCACCAGGAGCAACCGGATCAAGCAAGAAGATGGCCTTGCCTGTGGTTAGGGGTGGAAGGAGATGATCCTGGAAGGTCTTGCCCAACCCAAACCCCTTCTGTGTGCCCACGCAAGGATGAACGGATGGGAGGTGATGGAGGATGCTGGCACAGGGTGCCCGGAGGAGCTGTGGCTGCCCCATCCCTGGCAGTGCTCAAGGACGCAGGGGCTTGGAGCACCCTGCTCCAGTGGAAGGGCTTGGGGTTGGAACCGAATGGGGTTTAAGCTCCCTTCATCCCAACCCATTCCATGGCTCCAAGAGATGTCAACACCCTGCACTGCTCCCCTCGGAAGGAAGCCTGCATCCCCAAAGGGATGGGATGAGCTCTACTCAGCCCAGAGCCAAACCTGCCCCTGCTCCTACCAGCACACGAAGCCATCCTAAACCCAGCTGGGGCTGCTCCCTGGTGCTCAAGCCCCATCTAAGGAGGCTTCTCCCACTGGAGAGCGCGAGGAGAAGGGGGTTTAAGCTCTTTGCATGGGTTTAAGAGGCACATCCATACCTGCATGAATGGGGCAGCCATGCTTTGATCCCTGCTGAGCGGCACCACCAGCTTCTCCGTGCCTCCAATCCCGGATCCACCACACTCCTCCTCTGAGCCAGGCCAGGCTAAAAGCAGCTTGAGCTGCCCTGTGCCAGGCAGCTTCAGGACAAAGGATGTGAGCCCCTCGTCTGCCTGATCCCGTTGGAGCTGTGAAACAGGGGTGTGAGGAGCAGGGGAATTACTGGCAACAGGTCAGGTGTTTAATAAGCACCAACCACGGCAACAAAATTGGGAATTCTAGGAATTACGTCTTGTTTCCTTCCTTCCAACCCTAGCAGTGCTATTCCCAGGCTAGAGAGCTCCTAGTGATGGAGGACAGGTCCATGGGGAGGCTGCCCCTCTGCTCCGTGAGATCCCACCTGGATGCTGCATCCAGCCCTGGTGTCCTCAGCATCAGGACATGGAGCTGCTGGAGCGAGTCCAGAGGAGGCCACGAGGATGCTCAGGGGCTGGAGCAGCTCCCATAGGGAGCCAGGTTGGGAACATTGGGGCTGCGTGGAGAGCAGCCTGAAGGGGATGCAGGGATGCTGGGGATGGACTGGAGTGATGGGATGAGGGGCAATGGGTTCAAGCTGAAACAGGTCCCTTAGGAAAGATGGGAGCAAGGAAGAGGAGTTTGAAGCTGATCCTGAAAGAGGCTGAAAGGTTTCAGTAATGAAAGCGAGAGGAAGCTGCTCTGAGGATGCCAATGGGAACCAGGATCAGGATCAATGCAAGCGTGAGGCTGGTGCTGGTGCTGGAAGCAAGCACCCCACACACAGTTCATCGAGTTTTATTACTGCCATTAACCAGAGCTATGGAATGCCTTCCATCAAACCTTGTCCTAGGCCATTAGTAACAATTCCTGATAAATAACTTACAGGGAGACAGGCAGGAGCTGGAGGATAAAGTGCTGAGCAAAGCAATCCCATTCCCATTCCCATCCCGCATCGGCGCTCCTTCTGTTAGTGTTACCTGAGAAGGGGGATGTAAGGAAAGCTGGAGCCTGGGGCACCTCAATAACAACTCTGCTCTCCCCATGGGAGAGGTTGGGATATGGGAAGCACCAATTCCCGACTCCCAGATGCAAAGCAGCGATGCCCCAGGTCACTGTGCCAGCCTGGTTTACATCAAAACCATGGAGAAGATCCATGCAGTGAGCCCTGGGAAGGGACTGGAGGCTCCAAACCCTTGGTGGGACAGGGAACAGTGGCAGAGCGAAGAGGTTTGTGCTTCCCAGTGGGCTGGGATCACTGGGGCCCATCCAAACTGGGAATTGCCTCTGCTTTGGAGCACACCAGGACTCACCACACAGGCAGAGGCAGTGCTGGGATGGGCTTGAGCAGAGCCGGAGCGGAAGTTATCCCACATCCAAGGATAACACCTGGATAGATCCCAAGGCCTGGCTCATCCAGGGAGCTGTTTCTCCCTGCTGCAACCTGTTGGGAATGCCCTGCAAGCCAGGCTGGCTCTGCCTCTCGCTTCCAGGCGCATCCCAGGACTGCTTTGGGGCCCCAAACCGGTGGATGTGGGGCAAGCAGCGGGTGGTTTTGTGCCAGGAATACTGTCCAAGATTCCCAAAGTGTCCTCTGAGCACTCGTGGAAAGGTTTAGGATTAGGATATGACATCTGAGACCCATAGAGCACACAACTCTTGCACGCTCATGCTCTCTTGCACACACAGAGGGGGTCTGGCTCTTGGAGCTGCCATCACCTCCCATCGAGTACCACAGGGTCTACCTGGATTTCACACCAAAACCTGGATGAATCCACCTGGGATTGGCCACTCCAGCCCCCTCAGATGAGCACAAACCTCAGGAGATGTGGCCCATGGGGACAGCATCAACCTGCCTGACCCCCGGTGCTGCTGCCCGTGTAATGCTTCTGCCCCCATGGGTTGAAGAGCATCACTCTTCCTCCTCACTCCCTGAAACAGAGGAGGGGACTGCAGCAGATGTCCCACATTCCAGGAGCCAGGAGTCCCACGTTTAGTAGCCAGGCCAAGCAGGGCGCTGGGGATTGGGAGGTGGGGGGAATCCAAAGGGTGGAGGTGCTCCAGGAGGATAAGGAGGTTGGGGGGGGATTGGGAAGTTCGGGAGAGGAGGCTGGGTTGGGTACGGACACTGGGGCCTCGCTGCTCCAGGCGGGAAGAAGGGAGGGTATCCGGGTCTGGGCGGGGGTGGAAGAGGAGGGGGATGAGAGCCAGGAAAAGGGGGGGGCTGAGGTGGGCCCCTGGATGGAGACCAGGAATAACCCGGGGCTGGAGCAGAGCCTCCTGAGGGGGGTTTGGGATAGCCGGCTTCAGCAGCTGGGGCTGGAGGAGGTTTATAGGGAAAGGTGGGCTGGGCGTTCCCCATGGCGACTGGGGAGCCAGAGAAGGGAGCAGGGGGCAGAGCTCCATGGGCTGTGGGCCCAGCTGGCACACTCGGGGCTGGGCTGTAGGGCAGGGGGAAGGAAGGAGCTGCTGAAGGCTTTGGGGTCTCTGTGGGCACAGGTCCGTGAGGAGCTGGCTGCTCCTGAGGCTCCTGCGGCGTTCCCGACTTCCTCAGGATCTCCTGGAGCTTGTCCACCCTCACCCGGCGCAAGTGGGACAGCTTCCTCAGGCTGGAAAACTGCTCCAGGAAGGTGTCCAGGGGCACGGCGCCCTCCAGGAACTTCTCAGCCATTTGCTGGAAGAGAAGCCAGGATCAGTGCTTCAGCCCCAAACCCAGCTCAGGATTTAGGGGGGGACACACAGGAGGCACCAAGGACTGTAGGGACAGGCCAAGGGGTGAGGGGTTTGAAGTGAAACAGGGCAGATTTAGGCTGGATTTAAGGAAGTTCTTCCCTGTGAAGGTGCTGAGGCGCTGGCACAGGGTGCCCAGAGAAGCTGTGGCTGCCCCAGCCCTGGCAGTGCTCAAGATGGGGCTTGGAGCAAGCTGCTCCAGTGGAAGGGGTCCCTGCCTGTGGCAGGGGGTCGGGACTGGATGAGCTTTAAGGTCCCTTCCAACCCAAGCCATTCCATGCTAAGAGCATCACCCCCCACACCACCAAACAGAGGGCAATCCAGTTCCTTTAGGAGCACGAACACCAAAGCACAAAGAGATAATCCTTGATTCAAAGCCTTAAGCTTGGGATTGTAACTACAACTGGGAGGACTTCATCGCTTGCCTTGCTCAAGGATTTAAACCTTAAGCTCACCTCAGACTCCTCTTCAATCTTCTGGCTTTCCACCTGCAGGAGATCCAGCAAGGTCTGGGGATGCAGTGCTGCAGAGAACTTCTCTGGGGAGGGAAGGAACAAGGAGAGCAGCAGAGCACAACATCAGACACAAAAGGAAAAGGAACCAGCAGCACCCAACCCTGCTGCGCTCCGCCAGGAGCCAATTCCTGCCTTGGGAAGTGGTGGTGCAAGGAGAAAAGGAGAGGAAAAGGTTCTGGGCACTGCTGCACCAGGAGGGGGGGGTTTGCTGGGTGATCTGCTCAACTGGATCTGACTGGGAAACGGGAGAAGAGAGATCTTATAGGCAGCCCAGTGTGCCACCACCCCCCGACAGCTCAGCATGGCCAAGGGAGGGAGAAGCAGACGGGAAAGCTCTTGCTCTAAGTGCAGCCCTTGTGCCTGTATCGGCCAGCAGAGGTTGGCAACCACTCACCCAGCTTTGCCTTTTGCTCCTGGCACCTCTGAGCCAGCTTCTGCAGCTCCTCGTACTTGCTGCCCAGCTCCGTGCGCCCCGTCTCCAGCGGTGCCTGGAACTTGAGGTTCTGCTCAGCCAAGCTCCTGTTGGCAGCCAGGGACATTTCCCTTTCCAGCTGCAGCTCCTGGACCTGGGCAAGGAGATGGGGAACTCATGGAAGCAGGGAACCAACCAGGCTGGAAGAGACCTTGAAGAGCATCACGTTGCCCCAGCACTACCAAGGCCACCCTAACCCATGGCAATGAAGCCTTCTCTATAGGGGTTGTGAACATGCGCAGGGCCGCTGCCCTGGGCAGCCTGTTCCAATGCCTGAGCACCCTCTGGGGCAGGAATTGTTCCTCAGCTCCATCTAAACCTGCCCTGGGGCAGCTTGAGGCCGTTTCCTCTTGTCCCATCCCTTGTTCCTTGGGAGCAGAGCCCAGCCCCTCCTGGCTCCATCCTCCTCTCAGGCACTTGGAGGCAGCCATCAGGTCCCCCCTGAGCCTCCTCTTCTCCACACTGAACCCCCCAGGTCCCTCAGCCCTTCCCCATCACACCTGGGCTCCAGGCCCTGCTCCAGCACCCCAAGGTCTCTCTTGCAGTGAGGGCCCCAGAGCTGAGCACAGGATTCAGGGTGCAGCCTCACCCCCCCCCTCCATCCACACGCACCTCCTGGGACTCCAGCGCCAGGCGCTCGATCTCCTCCGTGTTCTCCTGCAGCTCCTGGAGCTCCTGCACCGTCCGGTTCCTCAGGGTCTCCATGCTGCCCGCAGGAGCTGCACCCTCCCCTGCCACAGGGAGGAAGCCCAATAACACCTAGGTTTCCTAAAGCCACCTGCAAACAGGCACTAATCCTATCAGGGATTGAAGCAGCTTTGTTAAACTGCTTCAAGCGGCCGCATCCTCCTGGGCCTCAGCTCCCATCTCATTTGCCTGCTGTTGCCCTTTCCGGATACAGGGTGCCATTGCTTCCCTCGGAAAAGGCATTATTCACCCATGGGGAACGGGATCCAACACTTGGGACTTGGAAAATGGGTGAAACGTTACTAAAATCAGGGAATAAATCCGGTTTCCTGCACTATCCATGACTTATTTCTCCACTCTCCATCAAGTAACCGGGGCTGCCCGATACTATTAAGCAAATAGCAATGTTCAAGGCACAGTTTAGAAGAGGTGGGATGGGACAATGTGGGAACACAAGAAAACCAAGGGAGAGACACAGCAGTGAGAGGGGAAAGGGAGCTACAATGGGAATCCCAGTGCTGTCCTCATCACCTGTGGTTCTACCTTCCCGTGGGTGACGCAGCCCAATGCTGAGCCAGCCTCTGCGCCTACCATGGAACGACAAGGGAAGGCTCAGGGTTACCAAACGTCCTCACCCAAGATCCAGCCAAACTTGTCTGTGGAATTACCACGTGGAAGAGAGGGAAGCTGCTGCTACGGACACACGGGGGTGACTTCATCCCTCTGCCAACAGAAATCGACTTATGGGGTGGCTTTTGTTATTAATGAGGCTCAAGGAGGGAAAAGGGAGAAAGAGGGGTGAAGGGAACGTTCAGTCCCTGCTGCTGTGCAGGTGTAGAGGGCATGGATCATAGAATCATTGAGTGGTTTGGGTTGGAAGGGAGCTTAAAGCTCATCCAGCTCCAACCCCAACCCCTTCCACTGGAGCAGGGTGCTCCAAGCCCCTGTATCCTTGAGCACTGCCAGGGATGGGGCAGCCACAGCTTCTCTGGGCACCCTGTGCCAGCGCCTCAGCACCCTCCCAGGGAAGAGCTTCTGCCTAAGAGCTCATCTCAGTCTCCCCTCGGGCAGGTTCAAGCCATTCCCCTTGGCCTGTCCCTACATCCCTTGTCCCAAGCCCCTCTCCAGGTTTCCTGCAGCCCCTTCAGGCACTGGAGCTGCTCTAAGGTCTCCCCTTCAGGAGCCTTCTCTTCCCCAGGCTGCCCCAGCCCAGCTCTCTCAGCCTGGCTCCAGAGCAGAGCTGCTCCAGCCCTATCTCCATGCCCTCCTCTGGCTCCCTCCATCAGCTCCACGTCCCTCTGGTGCTGTTCCCGCAGCGCTGGCTCAGGGCCGCAGTGGGGGGGGGGGGGGTCCCCCTCCCCGGAGCACACCAGGAGGAGCTCAGCCCCCTCCCTGCGCGGTCAATGGGCAGCAGCCGAGCGAGGCTCCCCCGTCACGGATCTCACCGGTTTCCGCAGCGAGCCGGTGCCACCACCGGGACACAGCGGGGCCCGCTCCGCGTAGGCCGCGCCTACGGCACCGGGAAGGCCTCGGCCTAGGGGACGGCGCTTCCGCCGCTCCCGGTGCAAGGCGCGGTCGGAACCGACTGCAGTGCCCCACCGGAGCGGCTGCGAGCGTTGGACCGGGTGGGGGGAGCCCCGTTACCGGCACTCACCGCCGCCTTACCGGACACCCCCCCCCCTTCCCTGTCCCCTCAGAGCGCTTCCGGGTTCCGGTGCCGGGGTGGGCGGTACCACTGTGAGGGGGGGACGGGGGGGAGGAGGCGGGTGGTACAGCCCGGCGCCGCCATCTTGGAGCGCTCCAGGAGAGGAGGGATGGGGGGGGGTTGTGGCCTTGTGGAGGGGTTTATTAATGGTAATTAAGACAGTAGTGATTAATTAATGATGGTTTAGGTGATGAATACTCTGTATGGGCCTGCTGGAGGGGCTTTCCTGAAGGGGAGACCTGAGAGCAGCTCCAGTGCCTGAAGGGGCTGCAGGAAACCTGGAGAGGGGCTTGGGACAAGGGCCTGTAGGGACAGGCCAAGGGGAATGGCTTGAACCTGCCCGAGGGGAGACTGAGATGAGCTCTGAGGCAGAAGCTCTTCCCTGGGAGGGTGCTGAGGCGCTGGCACAGGGTGCCCAGAGAAGCTGTGGCTGCCCCATCCCTGGCAGTGTTCAAGGATACAGGGGCTTGGAGCAAGCTGCTCCAGTGGAAGGGGTTGGGGTTGGACAGTGGGATTGAGTGAGCCCTCAGCAAGTTTGCCGATGGCACCGAGCTGTGTGGTTCGGTTGATACGCTGGAGGGAAGGAATGGCATCCAAAGGGACCTCGACATGCTTGTGAGGTGGGCTGATGCCAACCTCATGAAGTTTAACCATGCCAAGTGCAAGGTCCTACACCTGGGTCGGAGCAATCCCAGGCCCAGCTACAGGTTGGGCGGAGAAGAGATTCAGAGCAACCCAAGGAGAAGGACTTGGGGGTGTTGGTTGATGAGAAAATGAACATGAGCCGGCTTCAGTGCGCGCTCACAGCCCAGAAACCAACCGTGTCCTGGGCTGCATCCAAAGCAGCGTGACCAGCAGGTCCAAGGAGGTGATCCTGCCCCTCTGCTCTGCTCTCGTGAGACCTCACCTGGAGCATTGTGTGCAGTTCTGGTGTCCTCAACATAAAAAGGACATGGAACTGTTGGAACAAGTCCAGAGGAGGCCACGAGGATGATCAGGGGACTGGAGCACCTCCCATATGGAGACAGGCTGAGAAAGTTGGGGCTGTTGAGCCTGGAGAAGAGAAGCTGCGTGGAGACCTCAGAGCAGCTTCCAGTGTCTGAAGGGGGCCTATAGGGATGCTGGGGAGGGACTCTTCATTAGGGACTGTAGTGACAGGACAAGGGGTAACGGGCTCAAACTGAAACAGGGGAAGTTCAGATTGGATCTAAGGAGGAAATTCTTTCCTGTGAGGGTGCTGAGGCACTGGAATGGGTTGCCCAGGGAGGCTGTGAATGCTCCATCCCTGGCAGTGTTCAAGGCCAGGTTGGACAGAGCCCTTGGGTGCATTGGTTTAGTGTGAGGTGTCCCTGCCCCTGGCAGGGGGTTGGAACTGGATGATCTTAAGGTCCTTTCCCACCCTGTTCTATGATTCTATGTATCTTAAAGCAGAAACTTGTCAAGCTTGCAGATGTTGTTACTCTGGCTGTCTTCTGTTCCTTTTCTTTCTATGGATCCCATTTAACCAAGAACGTCTTCAATGTTAAGTTATGAATCTTACCTACTACAATTCTGCTTCACCAAGCACAACGGCTGCTTAAGCAAGCAGGCACCGCGTTAACCCCTTATTCCCAGGTACCAGGAGCTCTTCCTCGTCTGAAACAGGAACATCCCCGAGCAGATGAGACCCAGGAAGCTCCAATCCCTTCACCCTCTTCTGTCCCAGCGGTGCTTCTGCATCCCCACAGACATTCCCTCTATTCCAATGGAGCAGGTTGGAAAAGACCTTTGGGATCCTCCCTGAGCAGGCCTGGGAGCTGCCTTAGGAGGAAGGGAAGCTCGGTGCTGAGGTGAGGAACACGAAGGGCACTGCTGAGGGCTGGGCAAGGTCCTCCAGCAGAGCTGCGGTCCAGGTGCGTATCCGCTCGTCCCGGCTGGAGACAGACCCTGTGTTGATTGAGTTATGTGGATCCCGATAGGAAACCTGGCCTTTAATCACTGGGGCTGATAACCAGGTCAAAGCCCGGTGTTAGTGCGCCAAGGGACGTGGCTTTCCAAAGGGAGATGGAGATTTCCATGTGGAATTGTTGCCGTGGCCCTAGAAGGACATTGAGTTAACAGCTTCCGCTCAGCTCTAAGGGCTGAGTAGAGGATGCACTACGTTCTGCTCCGATTTACTCCTTGCAAAGAAGGAAGCCTTGGGTGAAATGATGCAGTGTGACCCAGTGGGCACATCCCAAGTGCCAAGTGGGTGCTTTCTGGTTAACTCTGGAGCCCTCTGTGCCTTACATCTGTTAGGCAGCATCTTTGATGACGTTACCACCGGTCCTCGGGACACATCCCACGGTTACTGTGAGGCTGAAAGGTGCAGAAGTCAATATCCAATACACACCAAGAGCAAGAGTGACTGAGGACGGGTAAATACCCAGCTTACAGCAAGCAGGAGCTGAGCTGAGGATCCACAGAGCACTCGCCTGGGGGTAAAGACACCAGAAAGGAGCAAAATGCTTGCAGAAGGGAGCAAAATGATGCAGAAAGGAGTAAAATGCTTGCAGAAAGGAGTAAAACGCCTGCAGAAAGGAGCAAAATGATGCAGAAAGGAGCAAAATGCTTGCAGAAAGGAGTAAAATGCTTGCAGAAAGGAGCAAAATGCTTGCAGAAAGGAGTAAAATGCTTGCAGAAAGGAGCAAAATGCTTGCAGAAGGGGGCAAAATGATGCAGAAAGGAGTAAAATGCAGAAAGGAGTAAAAGGCCTGCAGAAAGGAGCAAAATGCTTGCAGAATGGAGTAAAATGCTTGCAGAAAGGAGTAAAATGATGCAGAAAGGAGCAAAATGCTTGCAGAAAGGAGCAAAATGCTTGCAGAAATGCTTGCAGAAAGGAGTAAAATGCTTGCAGAAAGGAGCAAAATGATGCAGAAAGGAGCAAAATGCTTGCAGAAAGGAGCAAAATGATGCAGAAAGGAGTAAAATGCTTGCAGAAAGGAGCAAAATGCTTGCAGAAAGGAGCAAAATGCTTGCAGAAAGGAGTAAAATGATGCAGAAAGGAGCAAAATGCTTGCAGAAAGGAGTAAAATGCTTGCAGAAAGGAGCATTTGGCTCCAGAACTGGCTTCTGAAGCAGCTCAGGGCAGTCGGGAGCCTTCCTATGCCAAGGAAAGGAAGCTGGAAGCTGGCAAGTGAGTGCAATGGAAACTTTGTGGGGTTATCAGTGCAGGAGCTCGTTGGCACTGGTGTTTGCAGGTGATGTTTGCAGCTCCTTGGGGTCCCAAGAGGAGGGTGGCAGCGTCGAGAGTGGGGAGCGAGTGAGCACACAGGCAGGGAAAGGTTAAACCAACAAAGCCTCACGTGCGGAGCTGATGGCAGCTTTCCCCCCTGGCGTTGTTATCAAAGGCCAAGTTCATTTGTGGCTTTGGTGGAACGTTCCTTCGGAGCCCAGGGGTCAAATGGAACTTGGAGAGTTTCCCAACTAAAGGAAGAGCGCGTTGATGGGGATGGTCTGGTTTCTCTCTTAATGTGATGCTGGTTGGTTTCAAGCCGATGTTGTGGGTGTTCCTCAATGGGATTCAGAGGTGGAAGAGCCTGTGGCAGAATCCCACCCTTCTGGAGCTGGTCTGAGAGCACCATGTCCACAGGAGGCCATGGAGATGCGGCGAGGGCTGGAGCAGCTCTGCTCTGGAGCCAGGCTGAGAGAGCTGGGCTGGGGCAGCCTGGACAAGAGAAGGCTCCTGAAGGGGAGACCTGAGAGCAGCTCCAGTGCCTGAAGGGGCTGCAGGAAAGCTGGAGAGGGGCTTGGGACAAGGGATGTAGGGACAGGCCAAGGGGAATGGCTTGAACCTGCCCGAGGGGAGACTGAGCTGAGCTCTGAGGCAGAAGCTCTTCCCTGGGAGGGTGCTGAGGCGCTGGCACAGGGTGCCCAGAGAAGCTGTGGCTGCCCCATCCCTGGCAGTGCTCAAGGACACAGGGGCTTGGAGCACCCTGCTCCAGTGGAAGGGGTTGGGGTTGGAGCTGGGTGAGCTTTAAGCTCCCTTCCAGCCCAACCCACTCTGATGCTCTGGTGGCTGCCAGCTCTTCTCAGCACCACGTTCCCCAGCAGCCTGGCTGCTCACCTCAAAGCAGTTCCCCTCTGCTCTTGCTCTTGCACACTGGAAGCTTTGTGGTCCGCGTGGTCCAGCCCTAACTGATTTAACAACCGCAGACCGAGCCACTAATGGTTTTTAGTCACCCACAGCAGGGAGGAAGAGCTGGGCCACCCTGAGCTCCTAGCCCAGCAGAAGCCCTCCCACCACCCGCTCAGCCTATATCTCAGGAGGCTTCCTTGATAACTCCATCAAACACTCGTAAATCAAAGGGGTTTTGACACTCTCAAGAGTCAAACTTGGCCTCCCTCCTCTCCGCCTTTGTGCCTTTCATCTGATAAAGCCACAGTGTGATACCGCCTTTACGGGAAGGACAGGGAAAACCAGGAGCAGGGGCTGGAAAACAAGTTTGCTTCCTTAATCTGCAGTTCCTAAGATAAGGAATATCTCCATGAGGTGACTGTTTTTCCAGCTCCACAGATAACGTTCAGGCTGTTGTGGGCTTAGTCAGCCAAGTCTTTGCCATGGAGAAAATCCATATATGGTCCCATTTGGCCCAAGGGGTGAGTCCTGTGGCACTTAAACCCATCCTGAGCGTTGTTACCCGGTCCTGTGCAGTTCCCATTGACAATCCCAGGCAGGTGGCTGTCAGGATTGAGTGTGGAAACAGGCTCCTGGCCTTGTGTTCCACATGAACGTGATGGGTTGGTTTGATCAGGAGCCAAGCAAGATTCTATTCCATAGAACCGTGGAATGGTTTGTGTTGGAAGGGGCTTCTGCCTCAGAGCTCATCTCAGTCTCCCCTCGGGCAGGTTCAAGCCATCCCCCTTGGCCTGTCCCTACAGGCCCTTGGCCAAGGACCCTCTCCCCGTTTCCCCTTTAGGCACTGGAGCTGCTCTAAGGTCTCCCCTTCAGGAGCCTTCTCCAGGCTGCCCCAGCCCAGCTCTCTCAGCCTGGCTCCATCAAAGTTCTCCAGCCCCTTCTCCTGTTGTCCATGGCCTGGATTGCTCAGGGTACCCTACAAGTGACCTCCAGTCCATCCCATGTACCCTTTAGTGTTCCTGTGTCCTCACACACTGATTGCTGCCCATCAGGGACAGCAGCAAAGCATCAACCATTCCTAGCAGCAATCCCGCAGGAATGGAGGGGTCAAAGTCACCTCTCAGCTCTTCTGCCTTTGCAGGCACCCCCAACCACTTCAACCACCAGTTATCCTGCACCCATCAGTGCTCTTGGGTGCTTTAGTTTAGAGCTCCTTACTTACTTAATGCATCTACAATAGCCCAAACTCGTCGTGAGGCCAGGCTGAGCCTCCAGATGCTGGGATCTCACTTGGAGATGGACACAACAGGCATTAAATCCTACATTTCTCTGGATAGAAACATCTGTCTTTGTGGATTTGATCCAACAGGAATCCTCACCCAGCCACCAATGCGTCAGGCCCAGGCAAAGCAGAGCTGAAAGCTTCCAGATCCATCCCTCCGCCTGGATTTGGGGATCTCAGCATCGTTTGGTGCCCTCTGCCGCCCAGTAGAGCTACAACAGAGCACCCGAACTGGGCACCCAGCCTCCTTCCTCCTTCTTTGCCGCGGTGGGCGTGCAGCAGAGTTGTGTTTCACGCTCTTCACAGCTTGGTTTCGAGTTTCCTCAGGGATTCCTTCTCCTTCTGGGAGCAAATGGAAGATTATTGCAGAACTGGCATGTCTCATTCCCTCCATTTCTCTACCAAATGCTGATTTCCCTCTCCCATCCCATGCCATGAGGCTGGAAGGGGGTTACTTGAGTCACACCACATCTGCTTCCAAAGTTCCCCAAAGGACTTTGAAAGCCATAAAGACTTGAAGGGAGCCTGGGTGGGAAGAGGTTGGGAAAGAGGCAGAGCCTTGGAGTTACACTGCCACCAGTCCACAAGGAAAGGGCTGGAATTCATCTTGTCCTGCCAATGGAACTGCCCTGGGGCTTCAGGAACAAGAGCCAGGTCCTGGAGGAACAGGACCCTTATCTCTGGGGCCATCAACATGAACCTCGACCACTTCCAACGCAGGACAAACCAAGCCTGTGGGTTTCTCCAGGCAAATCCTAGGAAGGAGGGGATTGAAGGGAATCTTCTCTGGGCACCCTGTGCCAGCGCCTCAGCACCCTCACAGGGAAGAGCTTCTGCTTTATCTCCAACCTGAACTTGCCCTGTTTCAGTTGGAACCCATCACCCCTTGTCCTATCGCTCCAGTCTCTGATGAAGAGTCCCTCTCCAGCATCCTTGTAGCCCCCTTCAGACACTGGAAGCTGCTCTGAGGTCTCCACACAGCCTTCTTTTCTCCAGGCTCAACAGCCCCAGTGTTCCCAGCCTGGCTCCATACGGGACCTGCTCCAGCCCCTGAGCATCCTCGTGGCCTCCTCTGGATTTGCTCCATCAGCTCCATGGCCTCCTGATGCTGAGGACACCAGAACTGCACCCAGTGCTGCAAGTGGGGCCTCACGAGGGCAGTGGTGATGCCAACTCCGTGACCTGCTCCTAGACCTCCCCTCCAGCCCCCACGTTCCCAGCAGGGTTTCCTCACCTCAGGAGCTGTCTCCACAGCCCTTACGAAGTCATCTTGCACCTAAAGGTGGTTCTTTTTCAGCCTCCCCCCCCCCCCCATCTCTTTTGCTCCTCATGGGAACGGTGCCAAATATTTGCTCTGGGATTGGTTTTGTGGGGCTGAATTCCATAACTGGAATTCTGGCTGTACTTATACATACCAAAAATCAATACCTGTCTGGGCACAGCTTCCCATTGGCTGCTGGTGATGGAATCTATTGACAGAGGAATGAGCTTATCCGAAAACTTCCCCTGCTTTAACAAGTTAGTTCTTTCCGTTGGAAGGAAAACTGAAACCTGGATCCTCCGTGATTCCAACTGTCCAGTTGCCTCCAGGAGAACCTTGGAAAATGGCTACGGGTCATCACTGCATGGTAGAATCCTGAATTTGGGATGCCGTTTGGGTGTTTGGAAGAGCCCAGCTCAGCTAAAGGTCTGTGTAAGGGCTCAGAAACATGGGATGGAGATAAATGGAACTGGTTTTAAGCTGCTGTGCTGGATCCAGTCCAAACCCATCGCTGCCAGGGTGGAGAACGAAGCAAGTTGTGTTCCCTGGCATTACAGACCAGGTTATAGATCCCTAAAACATGAGGCTCTTCCAGTTTCTTTGCTAAATACAAGGAGAGGATCCATCCCAAAGAATTTAGCACTTGACCTTCCCATTCTTCCGCTCATTACCACAGGGAATGCAGGAGGAGCCCTTTGAGGTAGCTCATCCCTCCATCACCCCACCATGAGCTCTGGATGAACATCCCAGCTCACACCTTTCCCAGTAACAGAGGAGAATCCACCTTGGCATCACCAGGACCTCCACCTCTCTGCTTCCAAACACCCAATGGTTACCTCCTGTTCCCCACTACGGGGCTGGACCAAGGACCAGTCCCAGCAGGACCTTCCTCTCCATCACAAGTTCTCCACTGTGGGAGCAACAGCAACACATGCCCGTGGCTACTTCGTGGAGCTCCAGCCACCTCCACCAGCTCCCATGGACCTCCTATGGTGTTCTCTGCCCCAGCATGGAGCACATGGACCTCCTATGGTGTTCTCTACCCCAACATGGAGCACATGGACCTCCTATGGTGTTCTCTACCCCAACATGGAGCACATGGACCTCCTATGGTGTTCTCTACCCCAACATGGAGCACATGGACCTCCTATGGTGTTCTCTGCCCCAGCATGGAGCACATGGACCTCCTATGGTGTTCTCTACCCCAGCATGGAGCACATGGACCTCCTATGGTGTTCTCTACCCCGACATGGAGCACATGGACCTCCTATGGTGTTCTCTACCCCAGCATGGAGCACATGGACCTCCTATGGTGTTCTCTACCCCAACATGGAGCACATGGACCTCCTATGGTGTTCTCTACCCCAACATGGAGCACATGGACCTCCTATGGTGTTCTCTACCCCAGCATGGAGCACATGGACCTCCGATGGTGTTCTCTACCCCAGCATGGAGCACATGGACCTCCTATGGTGTTCTCTACCCCAACATGGAGCACATGGACCTCCTATGCTGTTCTCTACCCCAACATGGAGCACATGGACCTCCTATGGTGTTCTCTACCCCGACATGGAGCACGTGGACCTCCTATGCTGTTCTCTACCCCAACATGGAGCACATGGACCTCCTATGGTGTTCTCTACCCCAACATGGAGCACATGGACCTCCTATGGTGTTCTCTACCCCAACATGGAGCACATGGACCTCCTATGGTGTTCTCTACCCCAACATGGAGCACATGGACCTCCTATGGTGTTCTCTACCCCAACATGGAGCACATGGACCTCCTATGGTGTTCTCTACCCCGACATGGAGCACATGGACCTCCTATGGTGTTCTCTACCCCAGCATGGAGCACATGGACCTCCTATGGTGTTCTCTACCCCAACATGGAGCACATGGACCTCCTATGGTGTTCTCTACCCCAGCATGGAGCACATGGACCTCCTGTGGTGTTCTCTACCCCAGCATGGAGTACATGGACCTCCTATGGTGTTCTCTACCCCAACATGGAGCACATGGACCTCCTATGGTGTTCTCTACCCCGACATGGAGCACGTGGACCTCCTATGGTGTTCTCTACCCCAACATGGAGCACATGGACCTCCTATGCTGTTCTCTACCCCAACATGGAGCACATGGACCTCCTATGGTGTTCTCTACCCCAACATGGAGCACATGGACCTCCTATGGTGTTCTCTACCCCAACATGGAGCACATGGACCTCCTATGGTGTTCTCTACCCCAACATGGAGCACATGCTTCCGAGCAACCTTCCTGGAGGAAAACCCAGGCTCTCAGCCCTTGGGGAGTGAATGGGTGGGAACGTGGGAGCTTTGTCATCTCCAAACCACCCCCCAAAAGGACGATCTCGGCAGGGTCCAGCCTCTGCCTTCCACCAGCACCAAGGTGGCAGGAAGCTTGCAACGCGTGGGATAACGGGGGAAGAGCCAGGCCAAGGAGCAAGCCCCGGCTGTGGATCTCCCTGTATCCCAACGGAATTTGAAGCAGCTCTTCCCAATACCTGCAGGAAGTCACCCAGAGCCTTGTGGAGATGTGAATCCCCCTGTGGAGCGCGGAGGAAGGAGTGGGAACGGCCTCATCCCTGGGTGCCGGCGCGCAGCGCCTTGGGGAGAAGGAGTGCTGCCTTCACAGTGGGGATTCTCCGAGCACATCCTCAAGGCCCCTTCTCCAGTGCCTTCTCCAGCTCTGTGTTTTCCCTGTGGAAGCACACGGATGTGGGTGCAGGGAGCCAGCCCCTTGGCTGGGGCTGCTCCGTATCCGAGCTCCTGTGCATCACCCACGCTGCTTCCCTTGTGCAGGGCAGGGATAGGCTGGAGTGAAGTGGGAATTAGATGCTCTCTGGTTCTCTTGGCAGTTCACAGCTACCTGCAGGCCCAGACTTGGCTCCTGAAGCTGCCAAGGCTCCATAGGGGGGTTGGTTTTGAGGCTCTGGCTTCCATCCAGCTCCAGACTTTCCATCCTGGGGGTCAGCCAAGACCTTCTCCTCAGCAGAGCCTGCTTACCCCAACAACGCATCCCGTCTTCCTTTGGACGAGGTGCTTTATCCCTTTCCTCCCGTCACCAGCCACCAAACCCTCCCAGGATCTCCTTGATCTCATTTCCTTGGTGCCATTCAACATCTCCCCTCAATTCTCTGTTACCCAGAGCTGGGGTGAAGCTGGTGCTGAGGGATGAAAGCCAGTTCCAGCCCCTATGGTGCCTGTGGTCCTCAGCACAGGGTCTGCCTTTGTTTTCCTGCAGGCCAAGGTGACCGTGCCAGCACGGGGTGCTGTGATGGAGGCCAAGGAGCCTGGTCCAGCACCGCTGACGTAGCCCAGCACCAGTGACCTTGGCTTTGCTCAACCAGCAGCATCCTGAGCTGGGTTTTCCCCTGTGAGGTCCCACTTTGACCCTTCCCCATCCCACTTCCCCCCACGCAGCCATGGGACGGATGAAGGACCAGCAGTGCCTCGCTGTTGGGACACCTGAGGATGCTGCTCTCCCAGCTCCAGCCTTCCCCAAGCATCCCCCACGGCCCAGCTTTGGACTGGGGTGAAGATGGGGAGCCCTCCGCTTGACATTGCCCCGGTGCCTCCGTTAAGGACGTCGTGATAAGTGCCCCACAGAGCTGTTTGCCTTCCTTATCGTGAGCGCTGCCCAAACAACGCGCTTGGGGATATAAGGAACCTGCTTGGGACGCCCTCACTGGGTCTGCACCTCAGCTGCTAGAACCAGCATGAAGCTGCTCCTGCTCTTCAGCTTGGTGGCCCTGGCTCAATGCCTCCTCCACAGGTAAGCATGGGAGAGGGGTGGGATGGGATTTAGGGTGCTGAGGACCCCGCAGAACCCATGCAGGGGACAACGTGCAGCCCCCCCCAAGCCATTACGTGGCCAAGGCTCCCCACAGCAAGGAGATGGCTGGGTCCCACATGAGGGGAGGGACCTGCAGGTCCGCTGAGCACATCCCTGCCTGGCTCCTGGTGAGGGATCCCTCTGCTGTGTCCCAGGATCCCCCTGAGGAAGGGCAAGACCCTGCGGCAGTCCCTGCAGGAGCATGGCTTGCTGGAGCGCTACCTCAAGCAGCACCCCTACAACCCGGCTGCCAAGTACTTCAGGACCCTCGTCTCTTCTGAGCCTATGCAGAACTACATGGATGTGAGCATGGCAGGGAGAGGGCTGGCCCCTTCCCATCCCACTGCCCCCTTTCCCATCCCTCTAGCTCCTTACCTGACCCACTAGCTCCTTACCCGTTCCCCTAACCCATTCCCTCCCCTGCTAGCCCTTTACCCATCCCAATAGTTCCTTACCTTTCTCTCTAACCCTTTACCCATTCCCCTAACCCATTCCCTACCCTGCTAGACCTTTACTCATCCCAATAGTTCCTTACCTTTCCCTCTAACCCTTTACCCATTCCCCTAACCCATTCCCCACCCTGCTAGCCCTTTACCCATCCCAATAGTTCCATACCTTTCCCTCTAACCCTTTACCCATTCCCCTAACCCATTCCCTACCCCGCTAGCCCTTTACCCATCCCAATAGTTCCTTACCTTTCCCTCTAACCCTTTACCCATTCCCCTAACCCATTCCCTACCTCGCTAGCCCTTTACCCATCCCAATAGTTCCTTACCTTTCCCTCTAACCCTTTACCCATTCCCCTAACCCATTCCCTACCCCGCTAGCCCTTTACTCATCCCAATAGTTCCTTACCTTTCCCTCTAACCCTTTACCCATTCCCCTAACCTGTTAACTTACCCACTGGCCCATTACTTGTTCCACTAGCCCCTTACCCATTCCCCTAACCCGTTACCCATCCCACTAGCCCCTTACTTGACCCACTAGCCTCTTACTTAATATGCTAGCTCCTTACCTGTCCCTCTCATCCTTTACCAGTTTCCCTAACCTATTGAGTCATCCCACTAGCCCCCTACCTGTTCCATTAGCCCTTTACCCTTTTCCCTAACCCATTCCCTGTCCCACTAGCCCCTTACCTGACTCGCTAGCCCCTTATCCATTCCCTTAACCGGTTAACTCATCCCTCTGGCCCCTTACCTGGGCCACTAGCCCTTCAACCATTCCCCTAACCCGTTACCCATCCCTCTAGCCCCTTACCTCACCCACTGGCCACTTACCTGACCCACTAACCTCTTACTTGATAGGCTGGCTCCTTACCTGTCCCTCTCATCCTTTACCAATTCCCCTAACCCATTAAGTCACCCCACTAGCCCCTCACCTGAACCACTAGCCCCATACCTGACCCTCTAACCCTTCACCTGGTGTTAGTTCCTTACCCTAATCCTTTACCAATGGCACTCATCCCACTAGCCCCTTCTGCATCCCAGTAGCCCATTACCCACCTTGCTAGCCCCATCTCCACCCCACTAACTCCCCACCCACCCTCCTTTGGCAGAGCTCCTACTATGGCACCATCTCCATCGGGACCCCCCCCCAGGAGTTCACCGTCATCTTCGACACCGGCTCCTCCAACCTCTGGGTGCCCTCCGTGTACTGCACCAGCCTGTCCTGCAGTAGGTGTCTGCTAGCCCTGTGGCCACTGGGCGAGGGGAGAAGCCCCCAGGATTCCCTGGGAGCCCTTGAAGGGATCAGGAGATGAGGATGGCTCTGCCCTGTCTCTCCCAAGGGATTTAGGGCCATGGGGAGGCACTGGAGATGCATCCTCAGCCCTTGGGGTCAGGCTGGACCGTGACCATCTCCTTGCATCCCCACAGGCAACCACAAGCGTTTCAACCCAGCAGAATCCTCCACCTTCATCAGCACCAACGAGAGCCTCTACGTTGCCTATGGCACTGGCAGCATGACTGGTATCCTGGGCTATGACACCGTCCAAGTAAGGCACCGTGCCCCAGCTGCCCCCATCCCATGGGACTGAGGCCATTGGGACACCCACACCGAGCCTTTCTCCCCCGTTTCTTTGCCCAGGTTGCAGACATCGAGGTCTACAACCAGATCTTTGGGCTCTCTGAGACCGAGCCTGGGGACTTCTTCTACTACAGCCCCTTCGATGGCATCCTGGGGCTGGCTTACCCCAGCATCGCCTCTGCTGGAGCCACCCCTGTCTTTGACAACATGATGAGCGAAGGTCTTGTGGCCAGGGACCTCTTCTCTGTCTACCTGAGCAAGTAAGTCCTGGCCAGAGCCACCCAAGCCCACGGGGAGGATCTTCTCCCATTGTCTCCCTACCGAGGCTGACTCCAGGACCATTCCTTGGTGCTGTGACACCCTATGGCTCCCGGGGACATGCTGGTGCAGGCATTGCCATGGTGGTGATGGGACAGGGCCCTCATCTGATGGTTTCCCCCTTCCAGGGATGAGGAGAGCGGCAGCTTTGTCCTCTTTGGTGCCATCGACCCCTATTATGTCACCAACGGCATCGTCTGGATCCCCCTCTCTGCTGAGACCTACTGGCAGATCACCATGCGCAGGTAGCCCTGGGGTAGCTGCAGTGGGGGGGGCTCCCCTCGCCCTGGCTTTTGGGGGTGCAGCACCCATGAGCCTCCCCCTGCGTCCCTTTGTCCCCAGTGTCTCCATCAAGGGCAAGGCAGTGGTCTGCCAGAACGGCTGCCAGGCCATCGTGGACACGGGCACCTCGCTGCTGGCCATGCCCAACCAGGACCTCACTGAGGTCCTCCGTGCCCTTGGTGCCACCTCCAGCGGCGAGGTGAGACCCAGGGGAGCGCACAGAGCTTTGGGGCTCCCATGGGGTGCGTGGTCCTTCTTGGGGTGACCACAGACACACACCCCCCCCACTTACCACCGTGTGTCCATCCCCACCCCAGATCGACTGCAATGACCGGTACAGCCTGCCCGACATTGTGTTCCACATCAGCGATGCAGAGTTCCCTGTGCCACCCAGTGCCTACGTGACGGAGGTGAGCATCCTGCTGGGCTGGGGACCGGGAGGGCTCAGGGAGGAGATCCAGGAGCTGGGAATCACCCTCCACCGTGTCCTTGCCTGCAGAGCAATGGGGTCTGCAGCCTGGGCTTTGAAGGCATGGATGTCCCCACTGAATCCGGCGAGATGTGGATCCTGGGTGATGTCTTCATCCGTGAGTACTACGTGGTCTTCAACAGAGGCACGAACATGGTGGGCTTGGCCCGCCTGCCCTGAAGGACGAGGCAGGGCTGCCCCACTGCCCTGCAGCCCCAGCTTGGCAGCTCCCCGCCACCTCCTGCCGTGACCACCAATAAAGCTGTATAGAAGCACCCTTGGGTTGTGTCTCTGGGTTCAGGTGCCACCACGGCCCTGGGCATGGAGCGTGGGCACCTTGGTGCCACCTTCACCCCCCTGATGAAGCTCTTGACCATGCAAACATGGCCAGGGCTCCCCAAACCCCTTCCTCAGCACCATTCCCTTAGGATCAACCTCCAAAGGTCCTGTCTGGGTGCTCTGCTGATGCTCTTGACCATGCAAACATGGCCAGGGCTCCCAAACCCCTTCCTCAGCACCCTTCCCTTAGGGTCAACCTGCAAAGGTCCTGTCTGGGTGCTCTGATGATGCTCTTGACCATGCAAACATGGCCAAAGACTCCCAAACCCCTTCCTCAGCACCATTCCCTTAGGATCAACCTGCAAAGGTCCTGTCTGGGTGCTCTGATGATGCTCTTGACCATGCAAACATGGCCAGGGCTCCCCAAACCCCTTCCTCAGCACCATTCCCTTAGGATCAACCTCCAGAGGTCCTGTCTGGGTGCTCTGATGATGCTCTTGACCATGCAAACATGGCCAGGGCTCCCCAAACCCCTTCCTCAGCACCATTCCCTTAGGATCAACCTGCAAAGGTCCTGTCTGGGTGCTCTGATGATGCTCTTGACCATGCAAACATGGCCAAAGACTCCCAAACCCCTTCCTCAGCACCATTCCCTTAGGATCAACCTGCAAAGGTCCTGTCTGGGTGCTCTGATGATGCTCTTGACCATGCAAACATGGCCAGGGCTCCCAAACCCCTTCCTCAGCACCCTTCCCTTAGGATCAACCTCCAAAGGTCCTGTCTGGGTGCTCTGATGATGCTCTTGACCATGCAAACATGGCCAAAGACTCCCAAACCCCTTCCTCAGCACCATTCCCTTAGGATCAACCTGCAAAGGTCCTGTCTGGATGCTGTGATGATGCTCTTGACCATGCAAACATGGCCAGGGCTCCCCAGACCCCTTCCTCAGCACCATTCCCTTAGGATCAACCTCCAAAGGTCCTGTCTGGGTGCTCTGATGATGCTCTTGACCATGCAAACATGGCCAAAGACTCCCAAACCCCTTCCTCAGCACCCTTCCCTTAGGATCAACCTCCAAAGGTCCTGTCTGGATGCTCTGATGATGCTCTTGACCATGCAAACATGGCCAGGGCTCCCAAACCCCTTCCTCAGCACCATTCCCTTAGGGTCAACCTGCAAAGGTCCTGTCTGGGTGCTCTGATGATGCTCTTGACCATGCAAACATGGCCAAAGACTCCCAAACCCCTTCCTCAGCACCATTCCCTTAGGATCAACCTCCAAAGGTCCTGTCTGGGTGCTCTGATGATGCTCTTGACCATGCAAACATGGCCAAAGACTCCCAAACCCCTTCCTCAGCACCATTCCCTTAGGATCAACCTCCAAAGGTCCTGTCTGGGTGCTCTGATGATGCTCTTGACCATGCAAACATGGCCAGGGCTCCCCAAACCCCTTCCTCAGCACCATTCCCTTAGGATCAACCTCCAAAGGTCCTGTCTGGACACAATGAACTCCCCACTGGACAAGGCACATCCCTCCTGTCCCCAAACCCAACTTGGGGGGGAGATGAACAGCACCATCCAGGGGGGGTGGAGGGGGGGTTGCACACCCCAAATCCCCCTCCAAGGACACCTAGAGCAGCCCTATAGTAGGTACAAGCAGGAGTAAGGGGAGAGGGCATAAATATCAGGGTGACTTTATTGGTGGCAGGGAGGGCAGGTCCCCTGTCCCCAGGCCAGGAGCTGGGGCAGCAGCACCCCAGGGGTCCATGGGGCACTTGGGGGGCTGGTTTGGGGCTGGGGGTCCTCAGGGATGCTCCAGGGCTTCCCTGCGCCATCCTGCTGGGAGGATCCAGCCTTTGGGGCTGGGGGTCCTTAAGGATGCTCCAGGGAGATGGAGGGGGTGCTCCTGGGGGACCCCAGCACCCCAGGGGGGATGAGGACCACGCAGCCTCTGCCTGAGAGAGAAGCAGTGCCCATGCACCCATGGGAGGTGGGATGCACCCATGGGAGGGGGGATGCACCCATGGGAGGTGGGATGCACCCATGGGAGGTGGGATGCACCCATGGGAGGTGGGATGCACCCATGGGAGGGGGGATGCACCCATGGGAGGGGGGATGCACCTATGGGAGCTGGGATGCACCCATGGGACATGGGATCTACCCATGGGAGCCAGGATGTACCCGTGAGAGCTGGGGTACACCCTTGGAGCTGGGATGCACTCATAGAGCTGGGATGCACTTAGGGAGCCGGGATGCACCCATGGGAGCTGGGATTCACCCATGGCAGATGGGATGCACCCACTGGAGCCAGGATGCACCCATAGAGCTAGGATTCATCTATGGGGCCTGGGATGCACCCATGGGATCCGGGATGCTATTGCCCACCCCATCTACTTGGCACCCCCTCCCCAGCCACCCATCACCCCAGGGGCCTGGTGGGCCAGACCTGCTGGTCCTGCAGACCCCTTCTCCTCCTCTTCCTCTTCCTCCTCCTCCTCTCCATCCTTACCAAGTGCCACTTGGTCCCTATGGGGCCCTGGCCCTGGGGCTCTCCCCTCTGGCCGGGGTCACAGCAGAGGGCTCCGTGTCCCTGGGGGGTCCCTGAGCTCTGGGGCTGCCTGTGGGAGCCGGGGGTGCTCCGGCCTCAGAGGGGGCATTGGGGGGCAGAGATGGGTGCCCCGAGGGGCTCAGCGTGGCCTCGGGGGGTTCCCCAGCCCCTGCACCCCCCAAAGAGGGGCCAGGGGGGGCTGTGTTGGGGAGCAGGAGCTGGGCCAGGCGAGGCCGGGGGGGGCGGGATGGTTGGGGGGGCGTTGGGGTTGCAATGGGGGTGTCCTCATGGCTTGGGGATGGGGATGAGGATGAGGAAGATGAGGATGGAGATGGGGATGGGGCCAGGTCACTGCTCTGCAGCGGGAGCCGGACGTCTGTGGCTATGGAGAGATGCTTTGCGTTAGCACCCACCTCCCCCTTGGGGACCCCCATGGGCTGCATGGGTGCACCCCAGGGTGCTCCAGAGGGGGGGGGGGTCCCCATGTGAACCCCATCACCCCGAGCATCACCTTGAGCCTGGCAGGGCGCAGCGAGCTCCGCGCAGGACCGGGGGCACAGCCTCTGCTCGCAGCTCACCTCCCCGAGCTGGTACCGAGGGGAAGGTTGGGGGTCAGCCCCCCCACCCGGCACCTCCATCGTCCCCCCCACCCCATCCATGCCCCCCCATTCACCTGGCAGGTACAGCGGGTGCAGGGCTGGCCCTCGGGGGTGAAGGTTTGGCCATTCCCCACCTTCCGACCTTGGTAGTTGCAGTCTATGGGGCAGGGGGGGGGGGAGGCAGCGATGGGGAGGGGAACCACACACACACACTCAAGGTGGGGCCAGGACCCCCCCCCCGGTTGTCCCCTTTGGTCCCTACCGGTACAGACGGGGCAGCACTCGCCCTCAGGGTGGAAGGGGTACGTGCAGAAGATGGCACAGTCCATGGGGGAGCAGGCCACTGATCCCAACTGTGAGAGATGGGAATTAGAGCCCACAATGGGAATGGGATGGGGGGGGGTGTGGAAAAGGGGGAATTCCCTAAGGCTTTTTCCTGCAAAGGAGGAAGAAACCTGGGCTGAAGAGCCAAGAGCATCTCGTGGTACCCGGCACAGCCCTCACCAGGCAGATGCAGCTGAGGCACGGGTCCAGCACGGAGGGGAAGGTCTCGTTGTTGTAGAAGATCCTCCCCATGTAGGTGCAGCCTGGAGGGAGAGGGGGGGATTTATGGGGGGAGCAGAGATGGGTTTGGGACCCCCAGAGTGTCAATGGGGTTGGGAAAGGGCTTTAAGAGCATCGAGTCCAACCCCAAGGCCACCATAACCCATCGCACCCTGGCTCCATCCTCCTGTCAGGCAGCTGTGGGGAGCGATCAGGTCCCCCCTGAACCTTCTCTTCTCCACACTGACCCCCCCCAAGGTCCCTCAGCCCTTCCCCATCACTCCTGTGCTCCAGGCCCTGCTTCCACCCCCCTGTATCCCTATGGATACAGCAGCTACCCCCAGCAGCATCCTCACCTGCGGAGCAGTCGGGGCAGCACTGCCCAGGGATGCGGATGGGATAGGGACACGTCTCCACGCAGTCTGTCCTCTTGCAGCTCACGGAGCCATCAGCCTGCAGGGGAGAAGCACTTGACCGAGACCTCAGGCTGCCCAAATCCATGGGGATCAACACCCCCCCCCATCCATGGGGAGTGCCAGGGATCATGGCCAGGAGGAGCCCGGCGTTCCCAGGGGAGGAGTGGAGCAGAGCAGGTTCTCATTCACCTGGCAGATGCATAACTCACAGGGATCGCCCGGAGACCAGATCTGTCCGACGGGGAGCTCCACGCCGTTGTCATCCAGGAAGCAGCCTTGGGATGGGGGTGGCATGGAGGGGACGTGGGTACCCCCCAGGGATGGACGTGTGTGTGTGTGGTACCCATCGCCCCGCAGGGACTGCAGCCTCCCGATCCCTGTGCGCCCACATCCAGCTCCCCTGCCCTCCATGTCCACATGTTCCCTAGATCCCGTCCTTCTGGTCCCCGTATCCCCTACATCCCATCCTCACTATTGCCCCAAGCCCATTTTCCTTATCCCCAAGCATCTCCACCTGTCTCACCCCACCCCATCCCATCCCACCCCATCATGTCCCATCCCACACCCTCCCATCCCACCCATCCTTTCCCACCCACACCCATCCCCTTCCATCCCACACCATCCCACCCCACCCATCCCCAGCCATCCCACCCCACCCCATCCCCTTCCACCCCATCCTACCCCATCCCATTGCTTTCCATCCCATCCCATCCCATCCCGTCCCACCCCATCTCCTCCCATCCTACCTCATCTCACCCCATTCCATCCTCCCCCATCCCACCAATCCCATCCCTCCGCATTCCATCCTCCCCTCCCACCCCATCCCACCCCATCCCATCCTACCGCATTCCATCCTCCCCCATCCCACCTATCCCATCCCACCCCATTCCATCCTACCGCATTCCATCCTCCCCCATCCCACCTATCCCATCCCACCCCATTCCATCCTCCCCTATCCCACCCCATTCCATCCTCCCCCATCCCACCTATCCCATCCCACCCCATTCCATCCTCCTCTATCCCACCCCATTCCATCCTCCCCCATCCCACCTATCCCATCCCACCCCATTCCATCCTCCCCTACCATCCTCCTCCTCTATCCCACCCCATTCCATCCTCCCCCATCCCACCTATCCCATCCCACCCCATCCCATCCTACCCCATTCCTCCCCCATCCCACCCCATCCCATCCCACCCCACCCCACCCCATCCCCATCCCACCTCCCCCCCATCCCACCCCACCCCACCCATCAGATCCCACCCACCCCATCCCACCCCTGCTCTCACCGGTGGGGGCCGGGGGTTCCCTGCAGCTGAAGCAGCACTGCCCGGGGCTCAGCTGCTGCTGGTGCTGGGGACAATCCAGGGCAGGGCAGGGGGCAAAGGAGCACTCGACCTCGCCAGCCTGGGGGCAAGGGACCGGTGACCCCCGGGCATGGACCCCCCTGTGCCCCCTGTCCTGCTCCAGAGCCAGGCAAGGACCCCTGGATGGTGCAGGGGAGCCCTGGAGCATCCCTGGTTCCCATCCATCAGGATAATACAGGGAAGCCCTGGAGCATCCCTGGTTCCCATCCATCAGGATAACCCAGGGGAGCCCTGCAGCATCCCTGGTTCATATCCATCAGGATAATACAGGGGAGCCCTGGAGCATCCCTGGTTCATATCCAGCAGGATAATACAGGGGAGCCCTGCAGCATCCCTGGTTCATATCCAGCAGGATAATACAGGGGAGCCCTGGAGCATCCCTGGTTCATATCCAGCAGGATAATACAGGGGAGCCCTGGAGCATCCCTGGTTCCCATCCAGCAGGATAATACAGGGGAGCCCTGGAGCATCCCTGGTTCATATCCATCAGGATAATACAGGGGAGCCCTGGAGCATCCCTGGTTCATATCCATTAGGATAATACAGGGGAGCCCTGCAGCATCCCTGGTTCATATCCATTAGGATAATACAGGGGAGCCCTGCAGCATCCCTGGTTCATCTCCATTAGGATAATACAGGGGAGCCCTGCAGCATCCCTGGTTCATCTCCATTAGGATAATACAGGGGGGTCCTGCAGCATCCCTGGTTCCCATCCATCAGGATAATACAGGGGGGTCCTGCAGCATCCCTGGTTCCCATCCATCAGGATAATACAGGGGAGCCCTGGAGCATCCCTGGTTCCCATCCATCAGGATAATACAGGGAAGCCCTGGAGCATCCCTGGTTCCCATCCATCAGGATAACCCAGGGAAGCCCAGGAGCATCCCTGGTTCCCATCCATCAGGATAACCCAGGGGAGCCCTGGAGCATCCCTGGTTCCCATCCATCAGGATAATACAAGGAAGCTCAGGAGCATCCCTGGTTCCCATCCATCAGGATAACCCAGGGAAGCCCTGGAGCATCCCTGGTTCCCATCCATCGGGATAACCCAGGGAAGCCCTGCAGCATCCCTGGCTCCCATCCATCGGGATAACCCAGGGAAGCCCTGGAGCATCCCTTGGGACCACAGGACCTACCCTGCAGACGCAGGTCGTGCACTCATCCCCATCCAGGCTGAAGCGGGCACCGTGCGCGTACGTCCGACCTCGAAAGCTGCACTTGGCTGGGGAGGAGGGAGGCAGCAGGCCCAGGAATGGGATCATGGAGCAAAGCACAGCTCCTCCGGAGCCCCATCCCCATCCCAGCAGGGCCTGGGGTCCCCCTGCCCCACACACCCCACAGGATGGGGGTCTCGCACCCACCGGGCTGGCAGGAGCAGCAGTCGGATGAGGAGGAGCTGGGGCAGGAGCCGGGGGGGCACTCGGGGGAGATGCAGGAGATGTTCCCAGCCTGTGGAGGGGAACACGGAGCTGCCACAAGGTCCCACATTCCTCAGGCATGGAGGAACCGTGGCAGGGCAGCATCTGCAATAGCGCATCCCAAGCCATGAGCCCGAATGGGGATGCAGGGGGATGCTCCCTGTCCTTGGGGACAAGGAGGATGGGATGCAGGTGACATGGGGACAAGGAGGATGGGATGCAGGGATCAGGGGGGACAAGGAGGATGGGATGCAGGGGATATGGGAACAAGGAGGATGGGATACAGGAGACACACAGGGATGATGAGGATGGGATGCTCCCTGTCCTTGGGGACAAGGAGGATGGGATGCAGGGATCATGGGGACAAGGAGGATGGGATGCAGGGATCAGGGGGACAAGGAGGATGGGATGCAGGGGATATGGGAACAAGGAGGATGGGATACAGGAGACACACAGGGATGATGAGGATGGGATGCTCCCTGTCCTTGGGGACAAGGAGGATGGGATGCGGGTGACATGGGGACAAAGAGGATGGGATGCAGGGGACATGGGGACAAGGAGGATGGGATTCAGGGATCATGGGGACAAGGAGGATGGGAGGCAGGGGACATGGGGCCAAGGAGGATGGGATGTAGGAGACACATGGGCTCAAGGAGGATGGGATGCAGGGGACATGGACACAGAGGGAATGGGATGCAGAGATCATGGGCACAAGGAGGATGGGATGCAGGGATCATGGGGACAGAGGGAATGGGATGCAGGGATCATGGGGACAAGGAGGATGGGATGCAGAGATCATGGGGACAAGGAGGATGGGATGTAGGGGACATGGGCACAAGGAGGATGGGATGCAGGGATCATGGACACAAGGAGGATGGGATGCAGGAGACATGGACACAGAGGGGACGGGATGCAGGGACACAGGGACAAGGAGGATGGGATGTAGGGGACATGGGCACAAGGAGGATGGGATGCAGGGATCATGGACACAAGGAGGATGGGATGCAGGGATCATGGACACAAGGAGGATGGGATGCAGGAGACATGGACACAGAGGGGATGGGATGCAGGGATCATGGACACAAGGAGGATGGGATGCAGGTGACATGGGCACAAGGAGGATGGGATGCAGGGATCATGGACACAAGGAGGATGGGATGCAGGAGACATGGACACAGAGGGGATGGGATGCAGGGATCATAGACACAAGGAGGATGGGATGCAGGAGACATGGACACAGAGGGGACGGGATGCAGGGACACAGGGACAAGGGGGATGCCGGGTGCTCACCAGGCAGACACAGACGGTGCAATTCCCATCGGACAAGGAGAAGACGTCGCCCTCAGCCCGGGCCACCCCTTCGTGCAGGCAGCCTGCGGGAGCAGAGGGGTCGGGGGGGGGCTGCCCCATGCAATGGGGCTGGGATGGGGGGGGGGGGGTTGGGGCTCACCTGCACAAGTGGGGCAGCAGCTCCCGCTCGGAGCAGGCAATGGATGGGAGCAGGACACCGTGGGGCAGGTCACGGCCTCACAGAGCACTTGTCCCCCCTGCATGGGCACGGGGATGGGGGGGGGCTCAGCAGGGCCATGGTGGCATGGGGGTGGTGACACAATGGGGAGGGGACACGGTGCTCACTAGGCAGGAGCAGCTCCGGCATCCCGGCTCCATCCAGCGGGCACCGGGATCCCGAGGGATGCCCCGGTCCCAGCAGCGAGGGGCTGATGGGGTGGAGGATCCAGGAGCTCCGTGTTGGGATGGCTCCGTGGCCGGGAACGCCGGAGAGGAGGGAGGGAATTGGGTCCCGGGAGCCGCAGCGGGGAGCTGGGATGAAGGGGAGCCCCTGGGCACCAATAGGGATGCTCCGGAGCCGGGAGGAGGGAGCAGGACCAGGGTGGGAGGATGCTGCAGGGACTGCAGGATGGGCGATGGAGCCAGGATGGATTTGGGGTAACCTGGGAACAGAGGGAGCAGGCATCACTTGGGGCAGGGAACGGGAGCATCCCGCTCCGCTTCCCAGCGCCAGCGCAGAGGGGATGGATACCTTCACAGGACACCCTGTCCCCGCTGAGGCGGTACCCGGGCCGGCAGGAGCATTGGAAGCTGCCCGGGGTGTTGTGGCAGGAATGCTGGCACGCCCGGCCCTCCCCGGGCCTCCGGCACTCGTTGACATCTGGGAACAAGGGGATGCGGCGGGGCCATCCCGGGAATGTCGCTGCCATCCCAGGGATGGGCCCGGGAGCCTCGAGCCCGTGGAAGGATGAGGATAAGGCGGTAACAGCCCATCAATGGGGTCAGTGGTCGCCTCCATCCCATTGGGATTGGTGGCGTGGGGAGGGAAGCGGCGCTCACCCACGCAGGAGTGCCTGTTCCCATGGAGGTGGTAGCCGGGCCGGCAGGAGCAGCGGTAGCTGCCGATGCTGTTCTTGCAGCGGTGCTGGCACGGGGTGGCCAAGCACTCGTCTGTGTCTGCAGGGAGAGGATCGTGGAGTGATGGAAGGGGTCGGGATGAAGGGGGCTGAAAGCTCCTCCAGCTCCAACCCCAACCCCTTCCATCAGAGCAGGGTGCTCCAAACCCCTGTGTCCTTGAGCACTGCCAGGGATGGGGCAGCCACAGCTTCTCTGGGCACCCTGTGCCAGCGCCTCAGCACCCTCATAGTGAAGGATTCCTCCCTTACATCCAAGCTGGATCCCCCCTGTTCCACTCTGACCCCATCACCCCTTGTCCCATCACTCCCATCCCCAGCATCCTTCCATCCCCTTCAGGCGCTGGAAGCTGCTCGGAGCTCCCCACACAGCCCCAGTGTTCCCAGCCTGGCTCCACGCAGGAGCTGCTCCAGCCCCGCAGCATCCTCACGTCCCGATGCTGAGCACACCGGGGCCGGATGCAGCACCCAGGCGGGATCTCACGGAGCAGAGGGGCAGGACCCACACCCCCCCTGCTCCCCACACCCCCCCCTTTCCCCCCAGCCCCCCAAGGCACCCCGGCAGCGGTGGCGGTCGGCAGCGAGCTGCATCCCGGGCCCGCACTCGCAGACGAAGCCGCCCTCGGTGTTCACGCAGCGCCCCTCGCAAGCCGCGCTCAGGCACTCGTCGATGTCTGCGGGGTGGGAAGGGAGCGCTGGAGATTGCGGGGAACCCCCCCCCCAAACCCCCTGCACCCCGCATCCCGCCCCCCACACCCCGAGCGCCTCTCACCGGTGCAGCGGATCCCGTTGGAGGTCTCCACCATGGCGAAGCCGAGGGGGCAGACGCGGGCCACCTCCTGGCAGCCGCCCTGGTTACAGGCCAGGTCGCAGCCGTACTCCCCGCACGTCCCCGGGGGCTCTGGGACACGGACATTGGGGTCCACGGGGAGCCGGGGCCAGCCCGGAACCCGTCCCCCTGCCCATTGGAGCCCATGGGGATGAGGGGGGGAGCATCCCTGCCCCTGCCCCTGCCGGGGATGGGGATGAAGGGGACGAGGTCTGGGAGCGGTACCTGGGCAGGTGATGCCCTGCTCTCCATCGGGGCAGGAGCACAGGTTGGGGGCGATGCAGAGCCCACGGCCGCAGCCAAAGGGGCAAAGGGCTGCGGGCAGAGGGGACAGGCGGCCATGAGGAGGGCAGGGACCCCAGAGACGGTCCCGTGAGCCCATTCCTCACACAGGGACCTCCACATCCCCCCTATGAGCCCATTCCTCAGGCAGGGACACCCATATCCCCCCTATGATCCCATTCCTCATACAGGGACACCCATATCCCCCCTATGATCCCATTCCTCACACAGGGACACCCATATCCCCCCTATGATCCCATTCCTTACACAGGGACCCCCATATCCCCCCTATGATCCCATCCCTCATACAGGGACCCCCATATCCCCCATTCCTCATACAGGGACACCCATATCCCCCCTATGATCCCATTCCTCACACAGGGACCCCCATATCCCCCCATTACTCACATAGGGATGCCCATATCCCCCATTCCTCAGGCAGGGACCCCCATATCCCCCCTATGAGCCCATTCCTCAGGCAGGGACACCCATATCCCCCCTATGATCCCATTCCTCAGGCAGGGACACCCATATCCCCCCTATGATCCCATCCCTCATACAGGGATCCCCATATCTCCCCATTACTCACATAGGGACCCATATATCCCCCATTCCTCAGGCAGGGACCCCCATATCCCCCCTATGATCCCATTCCTCAGGCAGGGACCCCCATATCCACCCATTACTCACATAGGGACCCCCATATCCCCCATTCCTCAGGCAGGGATCCCCATATCCACCCATTCCTCAGGCAGGGACCCCCATATCCCCCGTTCCTCAGGCAGGGACCCCCATGACTCACGCAGGGTGCACTGCCCGCTGCCCGGGGACAGCATCCACCCGGGACAACATCCGCTGCCGAAGGCGGAGAAGCAGACGTGGGGCCCCAGGCGGCGCCTGAGCGAGGGATGCGGGGATGAGGCCGGGCCCATCCCAACCCCCTGGGGCAGAGCAAAGGTCCTGGCCTTGCTCCTTGAGCCAGTGGGGAACCCTCGGCCATGGGGATGTGGGATAAGGGGATGCCCGCGGCCACGCTGTGCCGGGCAGCGCATGGATGCAGGGGGAAGAGTGACCCCTGAAACGAGTGGGATGGAGGGAGAGCTGTGGCCCAAAGCAACCTGAACACAGGGATAAAGGAGCAGGATGAGGATGCAGGGGGAAGAGTGAACCCCGAAACGAGTGGGATGGAGGGAGAGCTGTGCCCCAAAGTGACCTGAAAGCAGGGGTAAGGGAGCAGGACATGGATGCAAGGGGAAGAGTGACCCCCAAAACGAGTGGGATGGAGGGAGAGCCATGCCGCAAAGCAACCTGAACACAGGGATAAAGGAGCAGGACATGCATGTAGGGAGAAGAGTGACCCCTGAAACAAGTGGGATGGAGGGAGAGCCGTGCCCCAAAGCAACCTGAACACAGGGATAAGGGAGCAGGATGAGGATGCAGGGGGAAGAGTGACCCCCGAAACGAGTGGGATGGAGGGAGAGCCGTGCCCCAAAGCAACCTGAACACAGGGATAAGGGAGCAGGATGAGGATGCAGGGGGAAGAGTGACCCCCGAAACGAGTGGGATGGAGGGAGAGCTGTGCCCCAAAGCAACCTGAACACAGGGATAAAGGAGCAGGATGAGGATGCAGCAGGGAGAGTGACCCCCAAAACGAGTGGGATGGAGGGAGAGCTGTGCCCGCAAAGTAACCTGAAAGCAGGGATAAGGAGCAGGATGAGGATGCATGGGGAAGGGTGACCCCAGAAATAAGTGGGATGGAGGGAGAGCCGTGCCCCTAAGTAACCTGAAAGCAGGGATAAGGGAGCAGGACATGGATGCAGGGGAAATTGACCCCAGAAACAAGTGGGATGGAGGGAGAGCCATGCCCCAAAGTGACCTGAAAGCAGGGATAAGGGAGCAGGACATGGATGCAGGGGGAAGAGTGACCCCCGAAACAAGTGGGATGGAGGGAGAGCCGTGCCCCAAAGCAACCTGAAAGCAGGGATAAGGGAGCAGGACATGGATGCAGGGGGAAGAGTGACCCCTGAAACAAGTGGGATGGAGGGAGAGCTGTGCCCCAAAGTAACCTGAAAGCAGGGATAAGGGAGCAGGATGAGGATGCAGGGGGAAGAGTGACCCCTGAAACAAGTGGGATGGAGGGAGAGCCGTGCCCCAAAGTAACCTGAAAGCAGGGATAAGGGAGCAGGATGCAGATGCAGAGGGAAGAGTGACCCCAGAAACGAGTGGGATGGAGGGAGAGCCATGCCCCAAAGCAACCCAAACTTAGGGATAAGGGAGCAGGACATGGATGCAGGGAGAAGAGCGACCCCTGAAACAAGTGGGATGGAGGGAGAGCTGTGGCCCTGAGTAACCAGAACACAGGGATAATGGAGCAGGACATGGATGCAGGAGGAGATTGACCCCAGAAACAAGTGGGATGGAGGGAGAGCCGTGCCCCAAAGTAACCTGAACGCAGGGATAAGGGAACAGGATGCGGATACAAAAGGAAGAGTGACCCCGAAACGAGTGGGATGGAGGGCGAGCCGTGCCCCAAGGCAACCCGAAGGCAGGGATAAGGGAGCAGGACATGGATGCAGGGAGAAAAGCGACCCCCGAAACAAGTGGGATGGAGGGCGAGCCGTGCCCCCAGGGCAACCCGAAGGCAAGGGATAAGGGAGCAGGACGCGGATGCAGCGGGCAGGACGCGCGGGGATGGGCGGCACGGAGCGGGGCCGGTTTGGCTCGGCTGGAGCCAGGTGTAGCCGGGATCAGAGCAAGGAGGAAGGGAAGAAGGAAGGAAGGGGGGAAGCCCCCCCCGGGTACCTCTCGACGGCAAAGCCGGGCGGGTTCTTCCTACCGGGGTGCGCAGTGCCCTGGCCGGGGGGGCCGAGCAGGGAGACGCAGGCAGCGTGGAGGAGCAGAGCCCGCAGCATGACCGGGGCTTGCGGCTCGCTCCTGCCTCGCTCCGGCAGCCTGGCCCCTTGGCCCCGCTCCTCCTCCCGGCTTCCACGCCGGGAACAATGCGGGGGGTGGAGGGAGGGCGAGAACGGGGAGCGAACCCATCGGCACCCGGGAGGCGGTGCACGGGGATGCTCGCACCGAGCCCGGCTCCTATGGACGGAGCGAGCGGTTCCCATCCCAGCCATAGGGAACGTTGGGGGGCTCGGGGATGCAGGGAATGGGAGCCGCCCCCCCCCCCCTTTTTCTCTCCCCCTTTCCCACATCTGGCAAAGCTCCGGCCTGGCCTCTCCCTACCGCTCCTCCTCCTCCTCCTCCTCCTCCTCCTCCTGGAGGCACTGGGCCGCCTGCCCGGCCCTGCACAGGGACCCACCAGAGAGGAGCACGCAGCAGCCAAAGGGGCCAAAGTGGTGCTGTGGGGGGGGGCACCCATATGGGGTGGTTTTGGGGTGCAATGGGGTCACCCCCAACCAAGCAATTCCTTCCTCCCCCCTTATCCCAACCAAAGGCCAGGGGCTGGAGCGAAGGTCGGAGGCAGGTAAATGATTGATAGGAGGGAGCAAAGGGCGGGTGCTGCTCCAGGGTCAAGCCCTGCAGGCTCCAGGTCCCCATTCCATAAGGATTTCCTTCCCCCCTGCCATATACAGCCCTGTCCGAGGTTGGACCCAGCATCAGGCACCCCCTGCATGCTTAGAAGTGAGGGTTAAAGGGTGTTCAGTGGCGGAATAGGGTGGGTTTGGAGGGGGGGCAGGACCCCTAGGGTGGTCACGGACATGATCCCAATGCTGGGATAGGGATGGAGCAGGGGCAGTGCATGGGATAAGCACCCACCACAGGGGCACAGTAAAGGGGGGGATGCTGCCAGCATCCCCAGTGTTGGGGATAGGAGCCATGTGGAGCTGATGTGGTCCTCCAGTTGTAGGGTGGAGGGATGTCCAAGGAAGAAGGATGCAGGATGCTGTCCACCTCCTGCTGCTGGAGGGAAGAGTTTAGGGAAAACCTGCCCAGGATGGGACACGGGGATCTTAACATGAGGGGTTATGGATGGGGATCGTGCATGGGGTGGGATCAATGGGCAGAGAGACAGGGGAAGAGCTTCTTCCCTATCTCCACCCTGACCTTCCCCTGGTTCAGTTTGAAACCATCACCCCTTGTCCTATCCAGTCCCTGATGAAGGGTCCCTCTCTGAGGAAGAGGAGGGCAGGAGCAGCAGAGCAGGGGCTGGTTCCCCTCTTCCCTATGGAGAAGGGGATGCTCCACAAGAGCCAGGCTCAGCTCAGAGCCCCAAGGAACAAGAACACAGGTAAGGAGCAGTCAGACGAGGCTGAAATCGCATCCTAATCCCCCCCAGATCCATAGGGATAGGGGCTGAGCACAAGGAAAAGGCTGCTGGAGAAGGAGCCCTGACTGCAATCCCCTCCACTACCGGTGCCTGCTGCCAGGGTGGGTGCTTCCATGGTCCAACAAGCTTCCAAGTGCTGTTGCTCTAGGGCCAGGAATGCATGGAATAGTGTCTAAATGCAGGGAAAAACGCCTTGCAGCGGGAAGGGGGAATCCCTCCGGGTGCCAGCAGCCAAACCTTTTCCTTGGACTACTTTATTTGGTAAAACTCAGAAACCACCAACTGCTCCCAGAACTTCCCTCCTGGAGCGAGCCAGTGCAGAGAGGAGCATCCCTATTCAGCTTCAGCACTTGGGATGCAGAGGAATCCTCCTCCTCCTGCTCCGTGTCTCACCACCACCACCCCCTACCCCAGCCCTCACCCCTGGGGCAGCTTCGCTTCCTCTTCCAAAGAAATCCCAACGAATCCATTAAGAATCCAAAGCAAAACTGAAAGGAACAAGATGCTAAAGACAGCGATGAAGAGGGAATCCAGGCCAGGGCATCCCATCAGCCCCAGGCACAGCGACCAGTTCCGGGGCAGCAGAGTCCATAGGAGCCCTAAATCCAAGCAGGAGATGAGGCAGTGGCTGAGGAACAACCCCCCAGAGAAGCTGGATCCCCTCCAGAGCCTCCTTCCCCCATGGCCCCCATGGTTGGTGTTTGGTGCAGGGGTTGGGGGGGGGGGGTTGATTCCTTTGCTCCCCATGGAGGAAGGTGGTTGGGAATGAGCCCAAATCCTGCTAATGGATCCGGGTCAGCTCCTCCACGATCTTTATGAGGTCGTCTACGGTGGCTTCCCTCTTCATGCCACTGCCATCATCGATCTGCAAGGAGAGGAGGGCTCAGAGCTTGGAGGCAGCAGGAAGAGCTCAAGAACAGTCCCAGTTCATGGCCGTGGAGGAAGGGAACAACTGGGATCTATTCCTTTAGCAGAGCCTGGATTCCGGAGTGGGATTGTGAAGGATCTAAGAGGGAGGAACCCCAGCTCACCTGCAAGTTTGCCACCACCTCCTGCATCTTGGGCCTGCTGATGTCCAGGAAGCTCTCGATCAGGTCGCCATCGATGAACCCCGTGGCTGGTTCCGTCTTGCGCTCGGTGTGAAACGATCTCCAGGTACCACAGTCAAGGAGCCAAATCCATAAGGAATAAGCCCAACCCATAAGGAATAATAAACCCAGCCCTGGTGGGGAGCACAGAAGATGCCCCAGGCTGCCAGTGCCACATCAGGAGGATCCCAGGGCCACTACCAAGCCAGATTGAACCTCAACCCCCCCCAAAAGAGACCCATCCCTACCTCCTCTATGAGCACAAAGGTGTCAGCACCTAAAGACCTCACAACCATCCTCTCCAGCTGATGTCCATCCCAACCAGAGCATCCCAACAGGAAGAAACCCCCCCAGCACCCCACAGGCTTCCACAGAGGGAATGGTGGAAGGATATAAGGAATGCTCAATCTTGCCCACACTCTTGATGACTTTATTCAGCCTGTTCTGCATGTCCAAGAGGAGGTTGTACCAGCTCTCTGACAGCGAGGTCACCAGGCCTGTTAAGGGGAAAGCAGAGGTAAAGGATGAGGGCTCATCCCAGCAGCCTCCTGGGACTGGAAGTGCGCTGGGAGAGATGGGATAAGGAAGTGCTCAAGGAGACCCAGAGGACTTCCCTCTTCTGGAAGCAATCCAGAGGGAAAAGCAGGTTTCTGAAGGGATTACAGGTGAGGAATGGAGAAGAACAGAGGCGTGAGGGAACCCAGGCCAGGATCAGCAGCAGGGACGGCACCTCCTGCCCTCCGTTCAGGATGAGACCCTTACCAATCATGCCATTGACTGTGCCGAAGAGAACCGAGCCCTGGGTCGGTGTGGAGGTCTCACCCAGGTTCTGCATGACCAGAGATCCGTGGCAGAAGACATTGACAAACTCTCCCAGGTGAGACAAGCCCACCTCCTGCAAGTGCTGACGTTCCTCATCGGTCGTGGCCGCGCTGCAAGGCAAAGCACCCTGCGTTGGGGGGTACCTGAGACCTTGCCCTGCTCTCCCCACCTCGCTCCTCAGAGCTGGATACGCTCCTCTCCCAGCTTCCCTGCCCCTAGGTGGGATGGGGAGGAGACCAGAAGGTCCTGTCCCTGCAGCTCACCTGTCCTTCTGGCACACAAACAAGTTGAAAGCATTCTCTGCTCCCAAGAAGTTGTCATCGTCCAGGATCTCCACAGCACTCATCCAGTTTGGATTGAAGTCCCGGGCAATCTGGAAGGGCACAAGAGGAGACCCAGTGAGCCCAGATGGCTTTAACTGTCATCCAGCATCATCATTCCACCCAGCACCACCACTCGGAGCGAGGATCCAGCCTGGCCTCTCTGCTGGCTGAAGCAGCTGAGTGGGAAAGGCACCAAGTCCTTCTGGACATGGCCCATGGGGTGCTCAGGTGATGCCACAGCATTCCCATTTCAAACCCAGAGAGCCCAAAGCCTAACAGAGGAAGTGCCTGCTCCATCCTCCCACTGCCAGAGCTGCAGCTATGGTCACGCTGAGCTCTTCCAACTGGACAACGGGCACTCCAGATGGCAGCTCCCCACCCTGGCAGGCAGCAAGCATGTACCCAGAGCATGCTCTTCTCCAGGCTGCTGGTACATTGCCCAGGTCCACATTGCTCCACAAAGCACAGGCATCCATGTGGAAGCATGCCTGGGTGATGCTGCCCTCATTGCACAGCCCTAGATCATAGAAGGGTTTGGGTTGGAAAGGTCCTTAAAGCTCCTCCAGTTCCAACCCCCTGGCACGGGCAGGGACACCTTCCACTAGAGCAGGTTACATCCAACCTGAACTTGCCCTCTTTCACTCTGAACCCATCACCCCTCATCCTATCACTCCAATCCCTGATGAAGAATCCCTCTGCAGCATCCTTGCAGCCCCCTTCACACACTGGGAGCTGCTCTGAGCTCTCCATGATCTGGGCCTTCAAGGTGGGCTGAGGATCTTCCATCACCTCCAACGCACCTCCTCGAAGTTCCCTTCCATGGGCTTGTATGCGAGGAGGAGCACGGACCTCATGAGGTCTCCCACCAGGATGAAGTCCCCTTTGGTCTTCAGGTAGAGAGCCATGATGTTGTTGTAGTGGTTGCACTCCGTGCGCAGCTCCTTCTCGGCTGTCCACTCATAGAGGCGCACCTGAAGGCAGGGACAGTGCTCTGAGCCACCATGGACACCCCACAGCAGCCAGGACAGGCTCCTCCATAGGGATCAGGAACCTGACTGACAGCCAAAGGCGTTCCCAAAACCAGGCAGGGTCTTGCAAGAGCCTTACCGTGCTGTTGATGCTGGCTAAGAGCTTCCCATTGAATTCCACCATGGAATACACAGCTCCCTTGACCTCCTTCTCAGCCAGACTCTGCAGCTTCCCTGGAATAAAGCCATGCACCCTATGGTTATTCCCCTTGCATTCCCAAGGGTGGCAAGGCAAAGGGAGCTGCTGTAAACATCGTTCTCTTAGAGGGCAAGTAACACAAGAAGTGAGATGACAGCAGGGGCAGCCACTGAGAAAGGAATCCCAGGATCCTGGCAAAGGATTCCTGGGCTTCTCTAAGAGATGGGAGCAGTGGCAGCCCCTACAGA